CTTTTTCCACAGCGTTTCAGCCAAGGACAGTGCCCCCGTAAAGGTTTTGCGGGGGTTACGGGGGCCCCCGTAAGGTTTTCGGCCGGTACAGGAGCCTGGTACGGGGGCCCCTCCGTAAGGAAAATTTGGGAGGTACGGGGGAGCCCGCAAGTTTCAGGAAGGTCAGTGTCGAACCCTGATGGGAAGTCTTACAGGTATGGGGTCACGCACCCCCAACCATGTAACACACACACACACACACACTTCCACACTACTATTTTTCCCCCCTCTTTCTGACAATATTGCTTTGACACAAATCTTAAAATCTGCACGTTTTCTGAGTGAAACGAATATTTATGACCAGGCTCGCCCCTTCCCACGGAAGCAAGCACAACTTTCCTGCCTGCAGGTACTCCTCCGTCTGTACGACCCCTAAGCAGTAAGGCAACTACGCAAGAAATCCTAAACAGGCAGTCATATGTCTATATATCTGCACCACGCGCGAGCAAGCAACCGCATGTGCTTACCTCTGGCAGCTGGCGTAGTGGAGGTCGGCGTTGATCTGATCCAGCAGGCACACACGGTACGTATGGGATTGATTGGAGGCACAGTGCTTTTAGTGACAAGAAATCAGATTCCTTAAGATAATAAATAAATTGGGGTGTTCGGGCTTGGGTAAAATGAATGGATTCACGTCGCTCCGGCTGCCCACGCAAGTTCCTTCCTTTGGGCCATAGGTGGCCAGAAAGTTGTGGCCGGAAATGCACTAATATCAGAACTCATAGCAGTTATCATTAATAAATCAACTGCACTCGGTAGATGCTGGAACAATAGGTGGTCGGCGGTGCTTGCGTGTTACGGTACAAGCACATGTAGCCTATGAGCTCCTATTTCGTGTTTTCCCACGCAGTAATTTCAGACTGTAGTAGCTGGTACACAGTATAGCTCTACAAATACGCGCGACGCGCGACCGCCAGCACCTCGAGAGGCCTTTTCAGCGGCCAGCTACTACATTTGGTATCGAGACCTTGTGAAGTCGTCGGTTCAACTTCGTCGGTTCAACTCCCACTAATCACGCTTGGT